TTCTCTCCTCATCTTTCACTTTCTATCTTTCTCTCTATCCCTCCTTTTGGACTTTCCCTGCTCCTTTCTATGCTCCAACTCACGAGTTTTGTTCCCCCTACATGCTCTTTACCCCCTCTCGGTACTTCGCGAATCGAAACTCTCTGCAGGGTGGCCAGCGGTATTACCATGAATTTACATAGCTTCGAACTCGGAACATATTGCGCTGCTTTGATTTATGCGAAACATTTGCTAAATATTCCGGCTTAATCTCGGCCACGCGAAATATCGCTGTGGGAGAACGCGAACTTGCATTTACTCTCGTATAACGATACTGTGCAACATTTCTTCAGAAGCATGGTAAACAGAACGCAAATAGGCACTTTATAAATGTCGGTTCACGAAGAGAGCTTTTGACCTCACTCAATAGCAAGCGCTTGGAGAATTCACGCGGCGTCGAAGATTTACGGGAAAACAAATCATTTTGGGAGACACCCTGGGATCACCGCGAAAATATCTATTTCGGCAAACTTTAAGGATTACGCGCGTTGTGATTTATAGTCGCATCGGCTAGGTGCGTACGAGTCACGCATCATATTTTAATATTTCATGAATAATTTATTAGTCTGGATGGAATAAAAATTATATATGGATTTAAAAAGCTCTTTTCACTGTGGAATCAACATTCATACTGCTCACTAATATATCAAAATTAAATGTATGACAATATAGAGATGCATACAGCAATATTATCGATGAACGGATAATGTCTAAAACAACGTGAAACATGAATCTCAGTTACATGGATTCTCATTGACAGTGCTCTCAGATTTCCTCGAACTCACTCTCGAGCCGGCCTAGTTCGCACTTGGCTTCCTCAACGGTGCTAACGATCGCGGTTCAGTTAAGGGTAGGTGCTTACCCTGAAGCCGATAAAGTACGTAAAACTACACTGCTTAGCGACAATTACATGACTTAACAACAGTAAATGAATGATAAGCTCTTCTATGAATACCATCGCTTCGAGCCTACTTGCCTACTTGCCTAATGGCGTTATTGTCTGACCAAACGCGCTCCAGCACTACTGTTAACTACAACTAATGCTAAAAGGCTTTGCATTAATTATATGAAAAATTAAGTCCCGGTGAAATAAATTAGTTTTCACATATAATGTAACTTATAATGTGATAAATAAGTCATATAAATACAAGACTTCATTAAAGGTAATTTTTAAGCTATTATGTATCAAAGATTTGAAAAAACTTATGTTCATTGAGCATCTTTGATACACCATAATTAAAAAATTACCCGTTATTGAGCCTTGTCTATCTTTTGCTTATTACATAAGCTGTATTATATGTGAAATATTAACTTATTTTATCGGAATCCAATTTTCTATATAATTAGTGTGAGGTCTATTTACGCTTTAAACGTCTTTTCAATATGACATACTTAGTTTTTTTTCAATACTTTTTTCATTATTTATAATTTTTTTATTAATAAAGATACATATAATTGCTTGATACTGTCATGTTCATTAATTATATTCTTTAATATTCAACTTAATGTCTGATTCGATTGAAAAAAAATTTTACAATATATTCATTCTTATGAAAGTTATATCGGTTATATAATCAGTTAATCGGTTATATAATCGAATTGTATTGTATACATCAGTATGCTATTTCCTTAATAAAACTTTTAAAGGATTAAGTTAAGCAGTTTAATATAATACAAAGAATTCTCAGAGAAATTACGCGTATAATCTGTATAATTTTTGTATAATCAGATTAAAAAAATATAAAAAAAAGAAAATGTATAAAGTAACTTATCAATTGTTTTAACTTGCATACTTCGGCATATCTCTCTGCGAATCGATTTCCTACGCAGTTCTCTCCGCCACTAAATGCTAGTTGCGTCATTTCTCGATATCTCCGTAGCCATTTCCACTTTTCCGCGAATCGGTTGTTCCTCATTCCATTTCCTTCTTTGTCCTTCGACTGTTCATCTCTCTCTTTTTCTCTATATCTTTTTTGTTTCCATTTCACATATTCATACGGCGCTCTCTTTTCACAATAAACGCAGATCATTTGCATGCAGAGTTCTCGCGCAAAACTCCCTCCGCAAGCCAAGCATCCCCGTGGACTCCGCCACCCCTTCTGGGGTCTCCGACGCGATAAGCCGCCCCCGGGGATCAGCGATTGTCTCGATTTATATGCAATGCATAGACGTAGACTGTGGTCGCGCTTTCGGTTCTCGCGCACATCGGATGGAACAAGGCATTTACGCATCGATAGATCGATTCTCTCGTCAGACAGTAAATATTGCTGATGAGCTGGTCCAGTCAGCATCGACGGGGATTTTAGGACGCGGAGGAGATTTAGGGTACTTTTACCCTGCGATTTGTCGAGTGGTAGAAATCCTCTGCTGTTCGACGTCGGATACTTCTCCGGATTTTCATGCCGGTTATTCTTCACTTTTTCAGCAACATTTCGCGTATTTTCTCTTCCTACACGGAGAAAGTGCGTGCTTTAATAGTGTCGAAGGTAACTAGCAAGAACAATGACTGGCTTGCTTTAGTCATTCCAAGGATTCAAATAAAAGTTAATTGGTTTTATTCTTCGGAAGACTGAGTGTTACAAGAATATAACAATTCAACATTACAATGTGCTATAATAATATGTATATACATTATTATTGCGTTATATACTATACTATTAATTACGTGAAGATAACTATTCTTTATGCATCTAATAAAAGATTAAAAATCAGCCCTGCATGAGTTTGTGATGCAGATTTAAAGAGCATGGGCGAAGTTTTTCAGTTATCGGAGTTCGCGTCATTTGATGAAAGTCATTCCTTACAACTTTGAAACTCTATTAAGAGTAGGGACACGAAGAGCGATGAAAGTTCGAGAGAAAATTTTCATTGGGTGGAGTAGTTAATGGGAAATGGTAATAGCGAGCACGATGTATATCATTTTCTCCCGTTTGTGCTTGCAGGTATCGTTGTGCGACGATTACAGTCTACCTGTCGACTTTGTGAACAAGAGACGTCCTGCGAGCGCTGCAGCTGCAACGTCCACAGTGCAATGGACGCTACCTAGTCCTACTGTAGAGAATGTAAGTAATTCAACACTGTTATAAAGATTTTAAATTAAATTATATTTATAGCTTATTTTTTAAATATAGAACAATTATAATACTTGTAATAAATAGGTAATTTATTTTACTTTGTAAATTTAACAGATTTATTCCTAAATCTTACTATTATTCGTGATATATTATGTGGTTCAGTTATGAAACAATAGTATATATATTCAGCACTTTGCATGAAAAATTTAATTAAGAGATTAGACATGGCGGCAATATATAACTTTAGAATAATGCTTTTACGCAGTGCGACATTATTGCGGTTATGATAAAACTTTATTCCACACCACAGTCGCGCTTTTATCTGTATTCACAGTTCAATGAATTTTGCGTTAAGCAAACACGCTTACACCGTTACACGTTCACGCGTCCCCATTGTGGCACGTTCCCAGTCCAAAAAGTTTATCGATATTTTCCTCCCGCGACGTGCAGTGAATCAAAAAAGGTCAGGGGGTTACAATATTTCCACAAGAAAACAAAATCCTTTGAATAAGTTTTGCATAATTTGCATATGAAGTATACGTTGTCAATAATATCTTGCAAGTTTTGTCTTTATTAAGAAAATATTATAAAAATAAATGCCTTGATTGAATCTAATTAATGAAAAAAATTCATGAATGTTGCGAAAATAAAGTGTTTATGTTGCATTAGAGTCAGCATAAGATTTCAAAGTAAACACCTATACTCACACGATCCTCGACTGTCTCGTCCTCTGCACATAATGTGCGCATGACGTCATTTCCTACAACTGTGCTAACGATAGTATTGATATTTTCATAACGCTGACGGCTGGGGAATCAGTCGAAGGGAGAAATATAATTACAGTGGTGACAAAATACCCGCCGGGCACAGTGTAGCGCAAAGGGCATTGGATGAAGCGTGTTGGAGAGTGTGAGAGATGGTAACAACGAAAGAAACGAGAAGCATCGTTGGCTGGGTGGAGAGACCGGTGACTTCCGGCGTTGCTTATAATTGTTCCACCACTCAATTTTTGGTGTCTGGAGTTGCCTCAAGCTCTTCGCCTAAACGCTTTGGCAGTACAGCTTCGCTTTCTCGCGGTTCACGAAAATATGCTTGAAATATCATGCTTTGCGGTTTTCTCACCAAGAAATAGAGCATTATAACACATGAAAGTGAACATATTCTGCAATTTGTGCAATTAATCTTCTAGATTATTTAATTTTATAATTATCAGATTCACACACATCTGCGAATTAATAATTATGAATAGTTATTTAATAATTTTTTCAGCGACTAGCAAAGAAACTTATAGTTTCTTTTAAATTAAAGTTTTTATATAAATATCTATAGTTTTTACAAATATATAAAATATATTTTTAAAATTTCTGTTCTTGCATTTGATCTTATGTTTATTTTATACATTATATCACGCGCATTATTACTTTTTTTATTCATAACCATATTTGATATGTTAATTCGAAAAAATTTAATTCGTTACCGTCAGCTCGGCGTCTGATTACTATACAAATAAACGGAAACGAGGACCGCGCCGCGCGACCGTCGCAAGGGAGTTTATAAAAGAAAAAGAAAGAAATCTCGCAGAAAAGGGACGACACCTGAGTGCGCCGAACAAAAGTTTCCTTCGCTTCGTTGTCACCGACAACCCCCGCGAGCGTCGCAAGGGGGAGTATGACAAAGACGGAAAGCGGGTGCCACTTGACTCGAGAGGGTGAATCGTTATGAGTCGTGCTCGTAAGCCCTACTTAATACTTTAGCGCTTTATTTTATGCGTGAGATCGAGCACTGGTGTTGCTCGCATTTATCACTATAACAAAGAGCTTGGGGGTGTAAAACTTTAGTAAACGTATCTTTCGAGAGTTGTAGTTATACATGATTTTGACATTTTGTTCGTTGGTCCACAAACTTTGATTTGCAATTTTCTTGATTATGTTTCAATCAATTTGAGAGACGATCAATTTATTTTTCGATAAACGCAGAGCGTATATTAACAAAATGCTCAGGGGGACTCTTCGCCATTTGTACCAGGTCGAATTCACGAAAGCGATTAACTCACGGCGAGGAAAATTACATTGAAAAGTGAACATAATTAATTCCTGACTAATTTAGAGGGACATGTCTTTCTGCAAGAATTCCGAAAAAATTGGCTTCGTGAGGAAAATGCTCGATGTCAAGCTCTTTGTGCGATATCCCTCGTCCGAGAGCGAGAGTGATTGATACTCTTGCCGCTAAAAAGCGCTTTTACGTGAGTCTTATCTTGCATCGCTCATTTTTCTTGTTATCTCCGCTTCACCTGACGCCATTATCTGCATATTGTTAATGATGTCTTGTATTATTGCGGATACTGTAGAAATACTGACTCGTTTTACAAAATTAAGAGCGATCGACATCACTGATGTAACGTTTCCTCGAGAGTGCCATTCTGTGTAAGGCGTTATTTATGTTATGAACTATATCACTAGTCGCCATTAATATAGCTCTTTACAACGCTACGATATTAATATTTATATCTCTGAAACTTTTTGATAAGTTGTTTTTGGAAACAGATTTTATTTTTTTTTGTATTTATAATAATTAAATTTAGTGGAACTATAATTAATATACATAATTAGAAAGAACTAAATTATTAATTTATTTTATGTCCAAAGTTTTTTTTTGTTTTGCCAATAATCTTTCTTTAAAATGCATTATTAATTTTTTTAAATATAATATGCATCGTATTTGAAGATATCCATATAAATTATTTAATTCTATCGATATCATTTGACATTACATGTGTAACATATTTTGGAATTATAGTCAAAATTTTGAAAAAAAATCTTTTTAGTATAAATTCTTTATTAAATTTCAAAGCCGTTGAATAAATTAAAAATTTGTTTAACATTCCAAAATTAGATCTGAAGAAATTAACAAAATACAATTAGCTGCGTTTGCTTTTTGCGGTTAGAGCATTATTTTATCTCTTTTGTTTATCAAATATTAAACAAAGGCAAGTGACGTTTAGAAATTCTGTGATCACAAAAGCGAATGCAGACAATGGTGAAAATTTCGTTTCGCCATGTAGACTCATAAATACAATAAAATCACACGATTAGATCAGCCAATAATTACGCCAAATTATAACGCACTGACCAAGTAATCGGATTAAAACCCTCGATAAATCGGACAGTATTAACAACTGAATATGATAGGGTGTGATGCATATTATTTGCATTGCATTCAGTGCCATTACATTCGATGCAATCCTCAAAGTGGTCAAACAGTTTACACACGGAGGGAAATTCGAGCAACTTGGGACACTGTGTGTGTTTATTATTTGCCATAGCTCTTCCACCGCCAACACCACGACAGCTTTACAGATTTACTTTACCCGCTTAACGAGGCACCGCTAAATCCGCGCGTTTTCACTTGTCGAATGGCAATTCGATTTCTTGTCGGTGTTGCATGCCTATAACCCTGCGTAATCGTTTTCGCAACCATCGGCATAGGATTTGGCGAACGCGTTCGCGCTTCGCGGAAAGTCGAGTCAGCCCGTTCGTCATCGGATTTGCGATAACCGACCTCCATAGAGCTTGCGGAATCGTTCCCGTAATTTCCGTATAAACATCCACAAATTTATACGTTTCACGGAGAAGGGCTCGTGCGACGGTAGAGGGAACGAGCTGGTAGGTAAGATGGTTGGAAGCAATCGACTTCGTCTTCGAAACAGCCCCTGGAGGCATAGCGTTCAACTTTGGCAGGAGAATTCCAATTTTGGGCTCTTTCCATTTAAGGCTACTTGTCTTCCCTCCATCACCTTCTCATTCTTACTTTCGTCTTACATTGCTGGAATGTCTGCTCGTCTCGCCTTGCTGGGCTTTCTTATGCACCATATTATTTCTTCTTTTACTACGCTTCCCTAATCGAAATAATGTTAAATAATATAATGTTAAAACCGAGAGAGAGAGAGAGAGAGAGAGAGAGAGAGAGAGAGAGAGAGAGAGAGAGAGAGAGAGAGAGAGAGAGAGAGAAAAGAAGAAAGCTTTCATTGATGGATTCTTTTTTATCCAGTGCTGAAGATCTGAACTTTTCGTCATTTACTCTCCAGAAAAGATAGATCGTTATTTTTATTATCATTATTATCATTAATATCGGCAAAGCACCGATCGTATAATCGCAGTGAAACCGAGTGATTTCCGCAGGAAATACGAGAAACCCTGCCTCGTTCGTCGATTGAATTCAGTCGAGAGAAATTTATTTTTTCCGTTCGTTCCTTTAGGTTAAAATTGTTAAGACAAACATGACAAGCAATTCGCTTTATATTATAGTCGTACTAAAAAATATTCCACCTTCAAGCTCAATCTTTATACGTGTACTAGCAGGATATTAATGTTCATCGTCAGCTGGCTGATTATTTGAGCGCTACGTTTAATTCACCGAGACACACGTGCTAGCGGAAATGAATTGTTGCCGCAGTTGTTTTCTCTCGAAATAACGATCATCATTTAGGGGATGGCTGGAAGCGTGTCCCCTCGAGTCCCGGCCAACGTATTACCGCAATTGGCTGCATTCAGGACCAGAAAATGGCATCAAGTTGCCGTGTAAATTCAAGCGTAGCTATCTCTGACGATAATCCTTCTCAAAGATATTCTCTCCTGGGACAAAGTTGAGTATTACTGTCCCGCGAGAACGTCGAGGAAAATACCACCTTGCCAAATTAATATTGTTACAGTAATTTTCTCGTTTGATATACCGTCTATCCTATGTCATTACAAGCCATATATTAAGGAAGAGAACTGTATTCTCTAATGGAGATGCCAGATCGATCGCTGTTTCAGATGCGAAGATGTACATACGGAATCTCTCTCGAGTGAAAATGGAAGGAAACAATTTGTGTTTTGTTTGCAGGCGGAAATCGAGATTGTGGAACAATACAGCGACCCTAGAGACAGCAAGAGCAAAGCGTATGTGGAACCAGGAACGGAGTCGTCCTTGCCGACGATTTACAGCAGAGAAAATCGCAACTATTGTCGACCATACACAGGTGGGTCTTTTCTTTAAATCGACATTATGAATGAAATGAAGGATTTAATTCTAACTAAATATACTATAATAGTTGTTGCATATTGGACGGACATATAAATAGCATTCCTCTGTTTTGAGATACAAAATAGATGTCAGGAGTATCTAACAAGAAATCTGTAGCTCTCCATTGAATATAAAGAAAAAATTTAAATATTAAAATTGCACTTTTTTATTTTATTATTAACAATATCGATATAATTAAATATGATACACTAAAATATTTTTAATTATACTATTATTATATTAATATCTCAGATTATTTTTAATTATATTACAATATATTTAAATATAATACTAAACATATATAGTAATAAAATAATAACGATAAATTAATTGCGGTATTCGAAGCATGAGACGTACTTCCGTGGCGTTGAATATTGGTGAAATGTTCGGAATCTACATTGATTGATCACTGACGGTGTGCGATAAGTTCCGGGATAACGCAGTTAAGCGGAAATTCTCATGCTAGGCCGCAAATTAATGTGGCGAGCCGCCGGGTTACGGCCGATACTACGACGTACGAATTATCGAGGTAACAACTCAGTTAGCGTCGGGTAAGAGAGGGAGAAGAACCCCTCGATAATTGAACGGTACGCACAGGTTGGTCGCGAGCGGCTAACGGATTAATCGACAGGGTTGGTCGAAATAGGGGATCATCTCTTTTTCGCAGTGGATGATACTCGCCGATTCGATTGCAAAATTGATGGGGATTAGAAACTCTCGTATCTTCACACGGTCTTGAGCAGCGCGGAAACTTTGAGACGCTAGCAAGAGCTGCGGATTAAATTCTTGCCGTGTTGTATCTTCACGAAGGAATGCTGTGGGTTGTGATTAACTCTGCACGATTGTCCCGTATGTACGATACGAACCTGATTCGCAACCCTCATCGAGCGTACCCGACACTCGAGTATGCAGATTGCCGTGTAACACTGATCCCGAGTAAACACTGGCGGAATTTACATCCTTACCATATTCATGGGCTTTTAATTCGCAAGTCATTGTGAATGTGGCAAGGATCAACATGAGGCCTGTGCAAAGATTTGCTTCCTTCGGTCAGGACAGGAGAGATATACGACCTTTCCCCGTGTATTTTCCTAGACACGATAATATTACTAAATGTATTACATGTGCTATTTTGTTCTCTTACGATAGGTTAGTGATACATTTCAAAGAAACATTTCCGAGATTATTATGTGTCATTTTTATGTGTCATATTTTATGTGTCATATTTTTCTCGTCTCGACATCTTTGGCTGTGTTTTAAAATTTATTGCCAATACAGAAAATCTATAGTTTACGTGCACTATAGATTTTCAGTTTTTATGATAGTTATAATTATATAATTTGTTGCCTAGTTATATAAATAAATGAAACGAGATAGTCGATATTCTCAAGATGAAATTCAGGAATCTTGAGAAACGAGAATATCAGTTTATTGAGACAAGGAGATTGCATTAATCATCTGTTTTTGTTGAAACTAAATCTCGGTATCAATATTTCCTCATCTCGTCTTAGTTTTCTTTGTTATTGATATACTTATCACAAATATAGGTGACTTAGGATAGTGCAGGTAACTTGAAACAGCATGTACTTTTGTTAAATTTAATCGTGATATCCATCCATGAGTCATTAAAGAAAATTTAAAATTGAAACTTTCTTTAGAAACTCATGGATACTAAGATTGAAGTTAACAAAAGTACATGCTGTCCCAAGTTAGTCCTGCATCAACCAAAGCATCTACATTTATGGAAAATTTGTTTCATAACGGTTCTTTCATCGTCTCACGACAAAATCTCCACAGCAAGGCTTTCGACGGGGGCATTATAAGATTAAAAGTAAATTGTCGTCCTTGCCATTCGAGGAATGCCGTTCCTTTCGTGAGAATTGAATCAGCAGTCGCGACGATGGGGGGTGAATATAAGGGAAGTGCGCGCGAGGGTGAGCCGAATGGAATTTTCAGACTGGCCGCTTTATAAAAGGGTACCGATGATGCTGAAATGTCTGGACGGTTCGCCGCCCTCCGTTAACTTCCGGTGGTAGCGACGTAGTGTTCCCGTTGTTCGTTACTACAAGCTTGGTTTACGCTTGTTGGTACAAACTTTTCGGTCTCGCGGGCTGTCCCCGACGACCTTACTTGCCATCGACACCATGCGCGGTGCCCCGTCTACCATAATATGTCGTGTGATATTTAATTAAACTTCTCATCCCTGCACCGCCGAACCACCCGTAGTATTGCCTGCCCGTTTTCATTCCGCTTTCATAGTCCGTAAAGTTTCAAGGGGTATTTCAAATTGTGTGCCTGCTCGCTACCGCATTTTCCAGCGCCATTCTACTTATAAACCGTGTTTCACAGTCAGCCCTCTCGACAGATTTTTCTCGTCTTTCTCTGAAGTACCCACTTTGTTGTGAGACAAATCAAATACGGCACATTGTACTGCTAATGACTTATGGCAAACTAAAAGCAAAAATTTCTTTCGTCAAATGAGATTATTTTTTAAATGTTTAAAAATATTTAATCACGTTATGAAGAAAATATGGAATAAATTACTATACTGAGCGTTCCATAATTATTTAATCCAGTAATGGCAATTCTGGAAAATTCATGTATTCTGCCTTCTTCCAATTGATATTAATTAAATTTGTTTTAAAGAAACCTACCATAATTTTAATTACGTTTAATATCACGCGAATGTACGATGTGTCACGAAAAGAACTTTTAGGCTCCTCGTTTGTTCGTGCGACCCCTCTTCAAAGTTACCCTCATTTCAATTACTGGTACCAGGTGACTTGTAGCTCATTCCGCATCCCCGAGCAGTTAACGCCTGTGCGGGTCCATCGTATGCAAATGTCAATCCGACCGTCGGTTTGCGTCCGTCGTCCGAGTGGGAGAAGGCGGGCCTGGTGTTCATCAAACGCTGTTCAAAAGCTGCCGCACATATATTTGTTAGCGGAAATTTATATTCGTGTGCAGAATACTAAGTTAAAGCCGCAGACTTTTCATTGTAACACTGCTTGACGCAATCTTTTTTCTTCTATTTGTTTGAATAATCTGCATACGTAAGCTTTAATGATATTTTGTAATATTATAATAAAAATTGTAATATTATAATAAATTTTCCATATTTTTTGAAATAATTAGACTAATGCAATTTATATATGTGATATAAATAAACGTAATATATATGGTCTCCTCCTTTGTATCCCCAGAAGATCAAAATAGCCTGATTATACTCTCAGGCAAAATCAGGCTCTGATTTTGAGTAGCTAGGATTGCCAATTTCATACTCGCACATATATGAGCTCCTGAAGGGGATTAATTTCATTATCCAGCTAAATACAATATGCACTCATATAATAACAATTAAGCATACTCGAGAACATTCAATCTCCACCAGTTTCCATACTTCACGTAAACAACTTGAAAATCTGATCTCTATGAAAATGAATAGTTAATAAGATCCTTCAGTCCTTATGCCTCCGTTGTCATCTATTCTTTGTTCTGTCTCCCCGTCTCTTTCTCTTTCCATCGCCGTTTCTCTTTCCATCTTATTTTCGGATATGCCATATTCCTCACTTTCTCGCGTCGTAAACTAGATCATTTACAAACTGTCATCAGCATAATTTCGATTCGTCCGACGATAAGTACGTGCTTAGATCTGAAGACAAGAGCTTATTCTCCGAACAATTTTGCGAGCTAAATTCGCATATCGCTATGGCAAGATGGAAAGTTTATCGCATATAGCGGTATCGAGGGACGCGCCGTGCAATATTGACATGGTTGAATTGACGTCAAAGCCTTCAGTTTTACTACACGATTTTTGTCAGAAAAAATCATTTGAAACCTCTGTTAAAAAGATTATTAGATTTTATCCGAAACTGACTCACTGCGTTCTATTCTCGTTAGCAATATGTACCGGGACACGAATTAACGTCCTAATCATATCATTTCGTTTCGTTTACCGTAAATCCGAATCCCTCGATTGACTGTTTTAGCTTTCTCTTTGAGCAATTGAACCTTTCAGTTCATGCTGAATGTAGGGTGAATAAAAAGTGGTTAACGAGATTCGTATGTGAATAATATTTCCAAGTTTTTGATAAAATTATATGCTGAAAAAAGAATGTAAAAGAATGTTTGTAAAAATTTTCTTTGTTCATTATGAAAGGAATGAATAACATTGTTACTTATCCGGTTTTATATCGATGCAAAATTTTAAAAACAACACACGCAGTTTTGTCACTCGACATACTCGGCAGACTTGAAGGGCAAAGGTCGGTGCTAAGCTACGAAGCCGAACCCTTCGCCAGGAGGGAGCCCTTGAATTCATTTCATGGGCAATTACAATTAGCATTTATGCCACGATTTGCATATCGTTGCGAGACAATTTCGCGCGCGCTTGGCTTAATCTCTGTGTCAGATGCTTTCGCATCATGCAAGAAACGTTCGTAGCTGTTCAAGATCGCCTATCTTACCATATAAACTACTGAAATTTCCGGTGAGATCTCGTGACCCCCGAGATTAGCACAGTGAGAGAATTTTAACGGTGAGAAGTCGTATTATAATATTCAAAATTGATTTATAAGCATAAACCCCGATCTACAATTCCGTAAATGTAGACGTAAGATTATGAGAGTAGCAGTAACATATTGTACAACATATTGATCTATAATCGAGTAAAGATTCAACGAACTTTCATCTTCAATTGAACATTACTCACAACACTTTTTCTATGTTTCATATTCGTAATATAATATATTTATAGTATAATAAACTCGTCAAATAATATATCATAAAATGAACTCAATAAAAGATGAAAAGAATACTTCGCATTCCTTTTCATACATTGAGATGAAAAGGATGATAACGATATAGATACGTGACAGCACTCTGATTGATTCACTCTTACGTTTTACGCAGTCGCAATCATGAAAGATAAAGTTGACAAAGGAATCGTCTTTTACA